AAAAATACACAATGTAGTAACAAAAAAACACAATGCTCCCCCAGTTTAAAAGGCCATAGATTGCTTAATTAACCAAAGGCCTGGAATAACAGGTATGTTTTTGCCTGGCACCTAAAGATATGTAATGAAGTTGCCAGGAGAGCCTCTCTGGGGAGAGCATTCCACAAGTGGGGAGCGAATAATAGCTTAATATTTCATTCTATTTACCATATTCAGAAGGATACAGAGGTCATGACTTAGCTAAAGTTAGTGAGGCTTGTGGCTTGTCGATCTCATGACATAGCCCAGAATTATTATTTTTCTATCCAGACTTTCAGTACTGACTCCAACTCTGACACTGGGGTCCTTATACTTCAGACAGAACAATGTCATGAGATAGTTTAAGACAGAAAAGAAAACCAGTCAGGGGGTGGTTAGGCTATATGATGTTGACTATTTGTAGAGCTGGACCATAAAGAAGGCTGATTGCCGAAGAATTCATGCTTTTGAATTATGGTGCTGGAGGAGATTCTTGAGAGTCCAACGGACTGCAAGAAGATCAAACCTATCCATTCTGAAGGAAATCAGCCCTGAGTGCTCACTGGAAGGACAGATCCTGACGCTGAGGCTCCAATACTTTGGCCACCTCATGAGAAGAGAAGACTCCCTGGAAAAGACCCTGATGTTGGGAAAGATTGAGGGCACAAGGAGAAGGGGACGACAGAGGATGAGATGGTTGGACAGTGTTCTCAAAGCTACCAGCATGAGTTTGACCAAACTGCGGGAGGGAGACAGGCGTGCCTGGCGTGCTCTGATCCATGGGGTCACGAAGAGTCAGACACGACTAAATGACTAAACAACAAATCTGCAGAGCATTCTTTGGGAGTGGGAGGGGTTGTGTGGGAGGTTATATGAAAGTGCACCAAATAATTGTTATCTCACACACTCCAATGCATTTCCCCACTGCTTTTCTTATCACTAAAAGTCATTTTTTTTGGGGGGGGAGCAAATTAGTTGCACAAAAGCTCCAAATCAGTTTTACCTGTGCAACCTGGATTTGTCAGCAGTTGAAAAGAGGCAACTGTCTAGAAGCAACCAATGTCACATGAAAGTTACTTGCCTATCCCTAAAGCAAAAGCACCTTGGGGGGGGGAACCTGTCTTAATAGCAATAAATTGATGTTTGTGACTATTCTGTGAAACCTTATCATAAAAAAATCCAAATATGAAGAGGGATAATACATACTTTATCAGATTTAGCTGACAAATGGATTTTGTTCTAACCCAGCTTCACATATGCCTTGGCTAATTTGGTGCAGCTGTCATAATCGTGAGCTTTTTTTTTTTTTTTACACAAAAAATTAGAACTCATTCTTTCGCTGATTGTCAGCTCTATTTCTCTTGCAAGCCAAATATAAAAATAATTTCATTAAAATGAATCTGTGACATTTCATTACCCCAAAACTGTTGCTGAAGAGGCTAATAATCATTTATATTAATTGGTGCATATTTCAAATTGTGGCAGACAATTAATCCAAATTCTGATCTCAGCGAAACATCTGTAGCTGTGGAGTCTGTTGTGGGACTGCAAGCACACTTTTGCTGATGGAATAATGAGATGCATGCCTATAATTATGATTTCCATGAGACAATTTACACTGTTCTGTTTTGAGTGATGGCCTCAGCAGTGCAAAGGTGAGGCATGATGAGCCATCAGTAGTACTCTGAACAGTTCTGTGCAAGGTTGAGGCTGGAGACAGAGCTCAGGTGTTGTTTCAGTAGCAGTCTGTAGTCCCACTCAAATGTTTCTTATGTGTAGGGAAATTCAGCTGTGACTACAGAATAGGGCTGCACTTTTAGCTCTGTCACCAACATTAGACTTGCCTTCTGAGAAAACTGCATATTGCATACAGTTCTCTGAAGAGAAATCCTGATGCGTATGTTAACACATATGCACCCATATGTCCATCTATAGTTCATAAGTATATTGTTTTAGCAAGAGACCAGGAAAAACCTACAGCAATAGCATCAACAAAATAATACATATCATCCATCCACAACACAAGCCAACATCCATGATGTAAGAGACAGAAGATACCAGAGGCACTAACAAACTTAAATCTAGCTTGATTTCAGGTTAAACCTCTGAATCACCACAACAATTTTCAGAGATTTTATCTAATTTCTTTTGTTGTTTTTTCTTTGAAACCAGTACATAGAGATTCACTCTCTGTGTCACAAAGTTATTACAGTGGTAGCTCGGGTTAAGTACTTAATTCATTCCGGAGGTCCGTACTTAACCTGAAACTGTTCTTAACCTGAAGCACCACTTTAGCTAATGGGGTCTCCTGCTGCTGCCGGGCCGCTGGAGCACGATTTCTGTTCTCATCCTGAAGCAAAGTTCTTAACCTGAAGCACTATTTCTGGGTTAGCGGAGTGTGTAACCTGAAGCGTCTGTAACGTGAAGCGTATGTAACCCAAGGTACTACTGTATTATCAGGCAGAAGTCTTTTGGCTCAATAACTTCCTGCTCCTTCAAGTTATCTTTTCCAGACTGCATTTCCCATTGTCTAGTGAGTATAGGGAATGGATATCTAACCTGCCATTGAGTGGGAGCAGTAGAATGATAATTGTCTGCAAAGAAATCCCAATGCATAAGCAGCTACACAGGTGTAGGTGCTCCAAGTGACTCTGACACCTGAACATCAGGATGTACTGGTCACACGAAACTGCCTTACAGGAATAGGTGGTCACATATAGAGATTTCTCTACAGGCGACCACATGCAACACATAATTGTTGCAGAAAGCATTTGCACATGAGGCTAAAAGTGCATCTCCACACCACAGTTACCATGGAAATGTCCTACACATCACGTGTGGATAGGGCTATTCTCAGGCTAAGCCTTAAATAGGAACTGTAGCTCTGTCTGAAAAGCAAGTCATGCCTTCTGTTAGAGGAGTCTCTTCATTTGCTGGGGCATAGCCACCTTTAGCAATATTTGATTCTGACAGAGAAGAATGCAGGGGAGAATGCAGTTCTGCTAGGACTTCTGAGTTGGAACTCTCAGAGTCAGAGGCAGAGGCAGGTAATGTGGAATGATAGGCTCCTGTTAGACAAGTGCCTTTGAGGCTGGCTCTGGGGCCCCCACTCCAAATTCCCAACTCATCCCCTGAACTAGGAGATCATGATGTAGTCCTTGAAACACACAGTGAGGGTGACCAAATGCCCTTTGTTAGAGCTGAAATGTCATCAGCCTGGCCAAATGTAAATGCAACCCCAAAGTGGCCTTGGGTTGCTGTCACAATCAGAGAAAGGGTAGAGGAAGGAATTGTGTTGTAGCAATGTTATAGGAACCTGGGGAACTGCTTTACAGTGTCTTCTACCATTGGGTCTATCTAGCTCAGTAGTGTCTACCTTGAATATGCCTGTGTGTGAATTTGTTTTATGTGTGGAGATCAATGAACGCTGATCAACACACAGTCTTTGCAGTAAGGGTCTATTCCAATGGCATGAGTATCACTACAAACAGTAGTTTTTTTATCGGCTGCAGCCTTCATCCACCTTCACAGCCATTGTAACATAATGCGCTTAATCTTCCACCTGTTCTGCCATTGAGGATTTCTTGGATCATTCTTTGTCTAGCTTCTCCCCCTTGACCTTACCTCCTTGGGTGACCCTACTGGGAGTACAAGACTCCAGATGGCTTTGCTCACAAGGATCATAGGAACGTGCAAGCCCAGTCACCACAACAAGGTGATGATCCAGCAAGTGAGTGTCTACCCTGAATGGCAGTAGTGAATGGTGGCTCTCTAGGATTTCAGACAATGAGTCTCTCTCAGCCCTACCTGGAGATCCAGTGAAATGAATCTGGGGCCTTCTGCATGCAAGTCAGATGCTCTACTAATGAGCTATGTCCTCCACCCACCGCCAGCCAAGCTGGTTTGGCAACCTTTCAGAGATCCTGAAGCTGCATCCTGCAGTGAGGGGATGAACTAGATGATTCTGAATTTTCAGAGCCTATCACTGACCATGGAAACTGCTCCCTTACGGCAAGTGAGGCACTATCCCACCAAGCTCAGTCTGCAGCCAGCTGCCAGCTGCCTACCTCAATAATAATAATAATAATAATAATAATAATAATTCTTATTTATACCCCGCCCTCCCCAGCCAAGGCCTGGCTCAGGGCAGCTAACAAGCAATAATAAAAACAAGTTGAATGAATACAACTTAAAAACAAGATTAAAATACAATTAAAATATTGAAACATTAAAATATTAAAATTCAGCCTCATCACAGGAGGAGAAAGGAAAAAGAAAAGAAAAAAAAGAGGGGGAAGGAATCAAATTGGCTCCAAGCCAAAGGTCAGGTGGAACAACTCTGTCTTATAGGCCCTGTGGAAAGAAATCAGATCCTGCAGGGTCCTGGTCTCATGAGGCAAAGCGTTCCACCAGGCCGGAGCCAGTGTTGAAAAGGCCCTGGCTCTGGTTGAAGCTAATCTAACTTCCTTAGGGCCCGGGACCACTAGGGTGTTGCTATTTATGGACCTTGAGGCTCTCTGTGGGGCGTACCAGGAGAGGCAGTCCCGTAGGTACGAGGGCCCTAAGCTGTGAAGGTCAACTTAGTCCAGAGGATGCTGGTCCTGACTGTCAGCTTACTCCTCCTTACAGTCAGTGTTGCTTTGGTAGACCTCAAGAAGTAGGAGGATGACTGTGGCATTCATACGGAGCCCCCAGTCGTCTCATGGATCATTGAGCTATACACCACTAATCCGCTGCCACCAACCAGGTCCTCCCCGGTAAATCACTTAGTCTCAGGCAGGTTCTTAAGTTAACAAAGAAGAGTGTAGTTTATTGCAGACACAAATAAATTTAACTGCATTCAAAGCATTGTTACTCTTTACTTTCTTAGTCTTATTTTTATCCTGCCTCTAACTCTTCTACCTCCCCTCACATAAGAACCAACTGCACTAACTGTCTCTCTAATTCCAACTGTCTGCCAACTGCTTTCCCAACTGCCTTTCCCAACCAACCAACCCACTAAAACCAACCAACTACCCACCTAACCCAAACCTCGGGCGAAGCCCTTTTATGAACAGGTAGGCTCTGCCTCCGGCTTTCCTATTGGTCTACATATTAACCCTTTCTCTCCCCCTGTACAGACATTTTCAAACAAACGGGCAAACACCACAATGACAAATGCAGAATTAGTGGCTATGCTTTCCTTTGTTATGTCTCCACGAAAAACTGGCCTCCATGTCTTCTGCCCTACCACCTCTAATGAGTGCCAGCTTCCATTAGTCTATGACTTCCCATGGCTAAAATCTGCACACCAAACAGAGGAGGACACACACCTCCACCAATTCCTCCTTCTCATTACCATTGCCTGCTTCAAAGAAAAGCTTTGACAAACAAGCACAGATTCACTCCTACAGAAGGGGGCAATTGTGAAGGGATTATTAAATTATTTTTCGCAGCAGATGATCACGTTCAGTGATAAGCCTATGACAAAACTGTTGAACATTTAATTTCCCTGAGCTGTGAAGACAGACAGATGACCGAATAGAAAAGGGGGTGTATGAAAGGAAGCTTGTAAGATATCCTAATGGTACTCATTTTAAAAACTGCCATCAAACGGTGATGGATAATGAAAGTGATTTTGCTTAGATAAATTACAGGAATGACACTCTGGAGAGGTAGAATGTACTTTCATTTATTAAATGAGTGAGTTAGTGCTAATGCAGAGGCTTAGCACTGAAATGTGCTAATACATTCAGAGAACTGGATTCAGAAGGTGTGAAGACAGATTGAACATGTGTATGGGGGAAGAGAGAGAGGGATTCGTTTTGTAACCATTTGATTTAAGCATGTTAAGGATGGGGTGAGATTCATAGGTCTGTATCACCACCAGTGAATTATACCAGAGTGAAAAAAGTAAGATGGGAAAAGAATGGTATTCCGGCTGCTTGCTTCCTCAAATTGAATGGAATTTTAAAATTTTATAGACGAGATGTTTCCAATGATCTCTCATCCGTCACTCCGATATAGTCAGCCCCGACACTGCAGACATTTTGTGTCATTGTTCAACTTGTACAGAGCTGCCAGCAACACATATTACATATTTATCAAATGCTGACAATGCAGGTCTAATTCTATGCTTAACTCAATCTGCTGTCTTGGCAATGCAGTAGAACAGGAATTGTCTTTGTCTGGTGTGTCTCTGCAAATTGTTATAAGCAAAATAGACTTAGGCTGATTTTGTCTAATAAGTGCCGAAGCATATATATATATATATATATATATATATATATATTAGATTATCTGGTATGGGTTGAGGACTTTGTGGGAAAGAATGGAGCTCATATATGCTGGTTGCATACTGGGGCTAGTGTGATTCGACAAGTGAATGTGTGCAAGTGTGGGAAGTGTGACCAATGACCATTGATGGGATTTTCCATGTTAATCTGTCACTACAGATAATTAACAGTGAATAGAGAATGTGAATTGGTCAGAGATGCACAACCTCCATGACATTTTTTGTGCATTACCCACAATGCATAGTCCCCAAATGTAGAAAGGTAGAAAAGTGCATTGATGGGGTAATGCACACAGAATGCAAGAGTCACTGCTTACTTGTGAATACCCTCCAACATCACTTGAAGACTTTGCACATTTTGATCAGGTAATGTGTGGAATCCATTCGTATGTTCAGCATTGCTCTTTCTCTAAAGTGATGGCAAACAAATATATGTGTGAACCTTGCTTTATAAATTACTTGATAAACAGGGCTTTTTAAAGATGTCGTTCATATTTGTCACTTGATGGCTTCAACCATCAAGTGACAACTTGCACATGAGGATCATCCATCACATACCTATCAAAACTAAAATAATTTTCATATTGTTTAAGATTTAGTTCCTCCCACGGATTTGGTTCTGACATTCAGATGACAATGCATGTTTCTTAACTGAAGAATGAGAAATGAAGGAATATATATGCATGTGTGAACAAGTTCTGAAGCTGCACATGGGAATTAGTTCTCTGTGGTAAGAGCTTCATTCAACCTGTGTGGTGATCATTATATAGAATGATCACATTTGGTTTATCTCATCACAAATTTGTATACCACCATTCCATAGTTATGCAAGATACATATCCTGGGAAGCTGTGACTGGCTGTTTGTTCCCATCACACACACAAATCTACACAAAAAGCAAACACATATTGGTCCACTGTAGTTGACAAGCTACAAATAGGTTGCATTCCGTACTAGTTCTTGCAGAGAACAAGTGCTTCTTGTATAAGAATTTGTCTCCATCTGAAGAAGCCCAGACCTATCAATAGCTGTTACAAAACGACACTGACATGGATTTATGGATGATGTACACATGCCTGTATATCACTCAGAAACACACCCCTCAATACCTCATACCTCCATAACTCACAGGTGACTGTGCATACATCCTATAAAGTGCTGGTGTAATTCAGCTCCATTAAAAATAACTGGAGGCCTGCAGCCAATGTTTTGGCTAGTAAATTCCCACACACTACCCTTCCCCTTAGCTACCTAATCAGTGGACTGTGCAAGAATATATCTTTCTCCTCTTGAGCCTCCCTTCTTCTAATACGTGATCTCAGTGTTGCTCAACTCTTTTTCTCCTGTCTTGTCTTGCCTCTCGTCTGCATGCTTCTTTTTTCAGTGCATGACCTTTCTCTCCCTCCTCCCTCCTCTTAGCAGTTCCTTTTAGGATTGGGTGAATCAGACTGACATACATTCCATGTCAGTTTTGAACGTCTTCAGTCATAAGCGTATTCCATCCCATTGTCTGCTAATTATCCCCACCCACAACACCCACCCACAAACTTCACATTTAAATTATACACACATTTGTATGCCTTTTCCACATAAAATTCTCATTTTGCATGCATTTTAAGAACTGAAACTGCAGTACAATTTTTTGATAAGTGCACAATCAATTTCTTAACTGTGTGTGTTCCAATTTGTGCACAGCTCTGAATTGTGTTGGCTTATTTTAAAATGTGCAATGAATAAAACTTTCCCCCCATCCTTAGATTCCCCCCTCCATGTCTAGTAACACACTCACACACATACACCTATCTCAGGTTCTCTGTCTCATCTTAGGTTGCCACAAACACAACTTTTTTATTTGTAAGTCAATTTAAGAAACTCCTATATGGACAGAAAAAGTGAGGGGTGTGTGTGTGTGTGTGTGTGTGTGTGTATATATATATATATATATATATTTGCTTTCGTATATATAAGGTAAAGGTAAAGGTACGCCTGCCCATAGAGTTGTGACCGACTCTAGGTTATGCGCTCATTTCGCTCAAGAGGCCGGGAGCCGGCGCTGTCCGAAGACACTTCCGGGTCACGTGGCCAGCGTGACGAAGCTGCATCTGGCGAGCCAGCACCAGCGCCGCACACGGAAACACCGTTTACCTTCCCGCTATAAAGCGGTCCCTATTTATCTACTTGCACTTAGGGGTGCTTTCGAACTGCTAGGTTGACAGGCGCTGGGACCGAGCGACGGGAGCACACCCCGCCGTGGGGATTCGAACCGCCGACCTTACGATCGGCAAGTCCTAGGCACTGAGGTTTTACCCACAGCGCCACCCGCGTCATATATATATATATATATATATATATATATATATATATATGAATACATCAATCAATCAATGTGTGTGAAGTGACACTTAAGTTCTTCTTGTGGTTTTTGATCTATGGTGAGCAACCTTAGCCTGCTCTCAGTCAGCCCCTATCTGCCTTTCTCCTTGCTTTTGTCTTGAGACACTAGCCTAGGGGGTATCAGTGCAGAGAGAAAGGTAGGGATAGGATAGTTGGTTCCATCTGTCATTGGTTCTGGCTCTGCCCACCATGGGCTCTGGTGTCACCCAGTTTGTTTGTTTTTTAACTGCTTTCTGCCCTAGCAGTCCCAATAGTTACCAGCTGGCACTGGAAATCAGTGTGTGTGAAAATGCTTACCAAAAACTAAAGTATCACATTCAAAACGTCTTCTATGCATCGCCTGTTTTGTTAGGAGCCAAATTTGTACACAGGTTGTTTGAGATGAGATACAACACTTTAAGAAGCCAAATCATATTTGCTTTTGATAGCACTTTTTAAAAAGATGGATGCTATCACCACTATATACTCTTATAACAAAGTTGTGAGTGTCGAGAGTGGGAGTAACAGCAACTCTCTTCGGCAACGAATAGGGTAATAATTCTCATTATCACCACATTTGCTTCAGTAGATGTTTGTTGCTTTGTGGCCAGCTTTCTACATTCCAGGGGTATGTGTGTAATTATTATGTCTTCATGATAAAGGTGACATATTGTGAAACACTCTATTTTCTGATTTTAATGCTGTTTTTAATAGGGTGTGCATCAGAATAACTCAGTTATTATAAAGCTCAATAGACAGTAAGCTGTTTCATGGAATGAGGATACACTTCAGCAAAAAAAAAAAAAATAATTAAAAAGTGCTATGCTGTAGTAAAAGCAACAGAAGGAGAGTTTTATTTTTAAAAACGTATTTAAATCATTTATATGCAGCTTTGCTAGTGCTCCTAACATCTTCCATAAAGCACACACAATTTTTTTAAAAAGTCTCAGTATTAGGATGGAATAGTGTGTCTTGCATAATGTGGCCTGAGGAAAAAGATTGAGTTCAAATCTTCAATCATAGGGTAATGTTGTTGACTTATACAAAAACTTTGGGGTCTCAAGCCCGTGGTTGGCAGAGTCAGAGGTAAAAGTGGGTGGCACTAGAGGCAAAGGTTTGTGGCAAAAGGAGGGAGTGCAATGAATGCAATGAATGCAATCCTTGCATTTATACATTCTAGCCACAGAGAGAGGTCAGAGGTTTCTAGACACAAAGATATACCTCTCCATCCCCTTCCAAAGCAATAGGTGTTCAACAGCATAGTCTAGCCAGGGAAAAGCACTTAAGGTGGGCATGGAACAGGTCTGGTCAGTGGAGTGGCTTGGGGAGAGTCCTGAGGGCCTGGTTGCATTTTCAGTGAACAAAATGGTTGTACAAAAATATGTATTTTATGTTTTTAAATGTATAAAA